TTCCAACTCCGCTCATCACCCACCCCTCCAGGGGCTCCATGGATGCCCCACCACCTCTGTTACTGCAGAATTACTGGGCATATGTGCTTTGGCCACTTCCCCTAGTGGATATCCATCTACTCAAGAGAAAGAACTGTCATTACTGTCACAACATGGCACTTGGCATGTAGCAAGCACACAGTGGTATGGGCCTGCTTAGGTATGGAGCAGGGGCATGAACAAGCTGCTGTCAGCTCACACAGATGGAAAGTTTGTGGCAGGCTGCTGTTTCCAGACAGTTGCATTTACCCTTTAAAGCCCAAAGTCTTACGGAACACGCATGCAGTAAAAAGCTTTCCATAATATGTGGCATTGGTCTTTGCCCTCTAGAGATTTTAACATTTTTTTCATTTTTTTAAAATATTTTTATTTATTATTTATACATTATTCTGCCTGCATGTGTGCCTGTAGGCCAGAAGAGGGCACAGGATCTAACTACAGCTGGTTGTGAGCCACATGGTAGCTGGGAATTGAACTCAGGACCTATGGAAGAGGAGCCAGTGCTCTTAACCTCTCCAGAAGGCTTTTTTTTTTCTTTTACTGATTAAACCTTAACTACAAATACCCAATGATTGTGCTTCACTGTTATTTAACTTCAAAGTATGGGAAATATTGCTTACTTTGTTTGTTTTTGAGACAAGGGTTTCTCTGTATAGCCTTGGCTGTCTAGGAACTCTCTTTGTAGACCAGGCTGCACTCACCCCGATCCGCCTGCTTCTGCTGCCTTGAGTGCTGGGATTAAAGGTGTGGACCACCACAGCAAGATTACACTAATCTTCTCAGAAACAACATTAGAAAATGTCTAACTCTATTCCAAAGCTGTCATTCTGCTCTCCTTCCCCAACCTGTGGGCTTTTAACATGCTGACGCTCACTTTAGGTGCCTTGTTGACTGTGTTTTGCTGTAGGCTCTCAGAAGGCACCTACATTCCATTTAGCAGTTCAGGCCCCTCCTACTGCTGTGACTGGAGGAGGCCGTGTATGGTGGAACACGCCTGTACCCCAGCACTCAGAGGCAAAAGCAAGATGACAAGCTTGGGATCGTGTCCCAAAAAAGGTTAATTCAAATTCTAAATTCTGGTCAAGGGAGAAAAAATGAAAACCCTACAAATCTGAAGTGATTTAGAAATTTACAATCAAATATGATTTATTGGAATGATGAGTCAGAGAGACCAACTACTATTGAAAGAGACAGAAGGAAAGAGTCTGAATTGTTTTCTGGAATAAAGGCATTTTATTGCTGTTGTTAAAGTGGCACCGTCCTGAGACATGTCCTGAGGTATTTGTACTGGACATGTGTATATTTGTACATGAGACACCACAGTGCTGGGCTGCCAGTCAAAATGACAGCAGGAGAATTAGGGGTACAGGAGAGACCGGATCAGATGTGCCCGTGGGTGCTGAGAACATGTAACTTAACGCTGTCTTCTGTTGTGCTTTCAATTTCCTGAACTAACGCGGAGTGTCGTGTTCACGTCTTCTGGGTGCCTGTGGCTGTGTCCCACTGCTTCCCCTCCAGCTGCCATTTCTGCTCTCTGTCAGTTCTGAAGTGGCTGGTTTGGGTTTTGGTGGTGGTGTTGGTTTGTTTTTTGTTTGTTTGTTTGGTTGGTTGTTTTGTTTTGTTTTTTTAATCTGTTTTTGTGGGTGATTGTTTTTTTTTGTTGTTGTTGTTGAGTTGGTTTTGAGTTTTTGTTTGAAGGTTTTGTTTGTTTGTTTGTTTGTTTGTTTGTTTTTTACCTTTTTGGGTTTTTTTTCCAAGATAGGGTTTCTCTGTGTAGCTCTCGCTGCCCTGGAACTCTGTAGAGCAGGCTGGCCTCAAACTCACGGAGATCCACCTGCTTCTGCCTCCTGAGTGCTGGGATCACAGGTGTGCACAACCGCCACACCTGTCCCACACGCCATTCTTGTCTCTGAGGCTCACACCTTCCACAGACAGTCCTAGCCTCACTTCCACCCAGCACCAGGAGCCCAAGCTTGTTACCCTCATCTCGCCTCAGGTAGGCACCGTCAGCTGCCCCCAGGGCTGACCGTGAAGCCGGCAGTAGCTAACAGAATCTCTGTGAACCTCAACATCTACATCAGAGTCTAAGACCACACTGCAGTTTCTAGACCTCAGCGATTCACTCCAAAAAATACAGAGACAAACCCCCAAGGCTAGTGGCCACACGCCATTTCTGTAAAAGTCTGAACTGCAGCTTAGCTCTGCCTTCCTGGACACACCAGAATGACACCTCACCTCACGTTGCTCTACAAAAGGCCCTCGACACAGCCTCTCTGGCCCAGCTCACTCATAGCTCCCTACCCATCTGTTCTAAACTGCTGCGCTTTTCACTGACAGCTGGCACACCATGTCTACTCATGACCTTGCTAGCATGTAAAACTGTGAATGCAGGTACTTTGCAATGTCAGAGTTTTGTTGCTGTGAAGAGACACCATGACCACGGCTACTCTTATAAAGAACAGCATTTAACTGGGGCTGGCTTACAGGCGAGAAGCACGGCAGCATCCAGGCAGACATGGTGCTGGAGAAGGACCTGAAAGTTCTACATCCTAATCCACAGGCAGCAGGAGACTGTGGACCACATGGGTGTGGCTTGAGCACAGGAGACCTCGAAGCCTTCCCCCACCGTGACACACTTCCTCCAACAAGGCCACACCTCCTAACACTCACTATAGGCCAAGCATTCAAACACGTGAGTCTATAGAGACCATTCCTATTCAAACCACAGCTACCAAGCCCTCAGATTCCAACCAATAAGAACATAAAAGAGCAATAAACTCTGGGAACATGCTCAGAATCACAGAAAAGAATGCCTAAATGCCAAAGAAAGTTAGACACACACACACACACACACACACACACACACACAGTCCTCTTATACAATATAAACCAAGACCACACCCTTCCATGCCTCCACATCACACACTGTGGAAAGATGATATCATGGCACTATTTTGATGCCTCGTCAGATTCAACATTATAAGAACACTAACTAAACCTGTCAGTTTGTGCCAGAAAAAGTCCATGTGATCACACTATCTTTAAATGCACACCAAGAAATTGTGGGTGTTTTGTGTGTACCTGTTTGTATGTGGACACACCTGTCTGCAGAAACCTGTGTAGACACACACGTATAAAGGCCAAAGGTGAGCAGCAAATGCCCTCCTCAACTACCTCCTCTACCTTCATTTCTGAGGCAGGGTGCCACTGAACCCGGGGCTCACCAACTCAGTCAGACCGTCTTGCAAGCGAACCTCGGTATTCTCCTGGGTCCACCCCCGTGCACCAGAATTATGTGTGCACACTGCTGCACCCAAGCCTTCTTACAGGAGTGCTGGGAATCCAACCTTGGCTCGGTATGCTTGTGTGGCAAGTACTTTACCAAATGACATATCTTCCCAGCTCACGCCATGGAATTTCTAATACCTAGAAACTACCTCGGAATGTAGTGTAGCTTTTTAAATTAAAACTAATTCCATCCCCTGAACCCTGCCCCTAACGCAAACACTCTTGATGGACACTCCACTAGGCCACATGGTATGTGGGGGGGCTCGGGGCTCTACCTCCAGCTTAGACATATCCATCTTGGGCTGACCATGTGGCTCAGCTCCCTCATTTATAAAGCAGGGTAGACTAACTTGATGACAGAGTTGACATGATCATCAAAAGGCTTTGAGTGAAGTAAAAGCTGAAAGCAACACCAGCGCACAGGCACAATTAACTACTTTAGTTACCGTGTTTAGTCTCAGCAGCATTATCGCATCTGAACCCACTCACCCTTCCTAGGTGCTGTTTACTCTGAAGGATCAAGAACAGGTTTTTACTTCATTGTTTTGTGCGGGACAGTAAACCCAGTGTCCTCTGCAAGCTCTAATTATTTTAAAGTAGGGGGGTGGCTATCAATGAGAATAACCCAATGGTAATCATACTGTTGAGTCTTTGTATAACTGGAAGAGACACACAAATTTATGAAAAGGGCAAAGATTAGTAAATCCCCCAAAACTGCACTGCTGAGCTCACAGGGTATTCGGCAAAGTGACAGGTACTTGGGGCGCGCTGGATGGGATGTGGGGAAACCCTGCTACCTAGGTTACAGACAGCCAGGACTGGAAAGCCCTGAGCTAGGCCCAGGAGACTCCCTTTGTTAAGGACACTTCCTCTTCTCTGCAGGAAGATCCCAGACTCCGACAGCCTCTACCAAAGAAAAGTCACGTAGTTCTTAGGGAAATTACAGGTCCAACTCCCTTTCTCCCCATAAGAAACCCCTCAGCAAGCAGCTGGGATTCCTGGAATACCTCCCCATGCAAATGAGGAATCTCAGCACCTTAGACCATCAGCCAATGATCTTGGCCTACCCTGGATATCCCTAACCCCTCCTCAAAGTTCTATATAATCCTCCTTTACCCCGAAATGAATTAATCTGCCTCCCCAAAGCTGATCCTGAAAGGTCACTTCTGTTCCTGGCTCAGGGGCAGCCGTGGCTTCTGCTTGTTGGTTACTGAGGATGGTAAGCAAAGACCTCAGGAAGAAGAGGCACAGAAGGAGAAGCAGCACATCATTTCAGCGCATCAAGCAACTTCAGAGACATCAGATCTGAGCTCTGTGCACCCTCACAGACGAGAAATCCATACGGCTTCGGCTCAAAATCATGCCTCGGCTCCTTCGTTCCTGCTTTTAGCTTCAGGATAACATCTATGTAAATCAAAAGGCTCTGCTAACAAAAAGCAAAACCAGCCCCCAGCCTTGACTGTACAGATGAAGATAAAACCATCAGCCTAGATGTCCAGAACCTTGCCCAGGAACAATCAGGGATCCAGAAATCAGGGCTCTGAGAACACCACCCATAGCTCCTCCCAGGCAAAGCACCAGATACATCAACACTTCTCAGGCCCAGCCTCACAGTCCACACTGTCCCCTCTTGGAAGTCAGGTAATCAATAAGTTTACACCCCTGCCACTCACCATGATCTCCCTCTGTTCTTCCAGATTCTTCAGAAAGTTTGAGAATTCCCGTAAGGAAGCATCTGTAGGGAGAGAGGCGTTAGTCTGTGTTGGGTGAGGCAGAGGAAAGCAAACCAAGCCTTGGCTTCCTTACCTATGCATCGCTCATCATCAGTCTCGGCATCCCCGATAAACTCAAATTTAAAGTCTCGGAGTGAGTGTGCAAACTTCCGCTGTGCTGCCGAAAGACCTGAAAAAAAAAAAAAGGCACCGTGGTGAAGAGCGCCCTTGTTTTTGCTTGGGTTTCTCGAGACAGGGTTTCTCTATGTAGAGTTGGCTGTCCTAGACCCGCTTTGTAGATGAGGATGGCCTGTAACTCACAGAGATGGGCCGACCTCTGCCTCCCTGAGTCTGGGGATTAAAGGTGTGAGCGACCACAGCTTGGCTCCAGGGCCCTTGCTTTAAAACCAAAAACTAACCCCCCCCCCCCAAAAAAAAAGCAATTCTCTTAAGATGAGTACAGCAAGAACTGTGCTCCACTCGGTATGTGAAAAGGCAAAATCCGACCCCTCTCATCCTCCACCTGGCATTCGCCTCTGTCTTCCTCCCACAAGTAAAACTGTTTCCCCAAAAGCACTGGAGATACTGGAAGCAGGGAGGCTCCACATGTGAAATCAGCCTCTGAAGTATGCAGCTGGGTGGAAGCACATGTGCTTAGCATGCACGAGGTTTTGGCATGATGCCTCACAAAGGAAAGGCTGACTAACCTGATTGGGGTCAAATGCTAAAGACAACTGAAAACAAGCACACAATCACAAAGTATAAATAACAGCCTTAAAAGTGAGCTGTTTTTTAAAAAAATTGGGGAAAATGCACACATCACAAAAGGAAGTGAAAAAAATTAAAGTGGCCTGTGACCACATGAAAAGATGTTCTACCATCAGTGGTCAGGAACCTAAAACCAAGAACCACAAGAGAACTCAATCACCTCGCTGCCAAAAGCAAATGAAGAAACACATCTCTCACTGCCGAGCTTGGTGGAACTGCTCTTGTAGTTTGGCAATTTCAGGTAAATTTGATGAAGTCCCACAACCCAGAAATTTTGGTAAATTTGCGAGGTAAAACTCTTGCACATATGGAAAGCTCTCAGCATGACTCACCCCTGTAAACTGAGTTGGGGGAGTATTTGCTGACAGGACGAAAAATGTGGTATGTGGCCAGACAGTGTGAAGTGCAGAGAACTAAACACAGAAGCAAATCCCACAATTGGGAGAGAAAAAGGAAAGCTCTGAGCATGACGCAGATCTGGTGGAGGGATTCATCTTCTCGTTCATACCAGGCATTGATTTTAAATATCGGCAAACTGCAGGCTCACTTTTGACAACTCTGTTACTCATTTAGCAAACATATGTTATGTGGGACATACTGAACCCGACATGGCAGCCCATGCCTGTAGCCTAGCACTTGGGTGATGGAAACAAGAGAATTGCCATGAGTTCATGGACAAACTGGGCTACACACAGACCATCTCGTAACCTACCCCCAACCCCAACGAAGAAGAACAACATGCAAGTGAGTCGTATTTGTATGCACACATTTAAATTGTTAAAAATTTCCCAGGGGGATACAAAATGAATAAAATGTAATTAATAAAGACTTAAAAAAATTTCCCTTTGAATCTGAGCCTGTATAAAGTAATGTATTTGGAACTGTTTCTTTAATATCCAAATACCAACACTAAAAAAGCAAAGGGCGTTCATTTTAAAAAAAAGCATGTTGTATGGACAGAATTAAATGTTTTTAGAATAATATGTTTTAAAATAACAGTTTTGCAACGTTAATTTTCTAATTCCTCACATTACCTGAAAAGTGAATTAATTCAGAGTTTGTTTGCATAGCTAATCTGGCACCTACCCACCCACCCACCCACCCCCCCCCCCCCCCCCGCCACATACACAATGCCTTCCTTGTGCCAAGTGTTGAGGCATCTTGCTTCTTTCACATGTAAGAACCTTCCATCCCTCACCGTGCACTGTGGTTGACCTCCTTCTAGCATCGAAGTTCATGTCCATCTCTTACACATCAGACCACACACACCTAACTGCATTCCCTTTCCTACTTACAGATGTGGTTGCTTTCCTATTCCTTCGTATGTCTTCGCTTCCCTTTCTCTGTGAGGTGAAGGGAGTCAGAGCTGGTGCACCCACACCCTACCTCTCGGAGTAATTCTAAACCTCTGTATTTTTCCAAACCGTCCTAATTTCAGATATATGCTGCTTTTCCAAACAACAGAAAATTGGGTCAGTTGTAGTAAATGTAATGTAAGCCATCAAAAGCTTTTCTTTCTTTCCGGTATCTTACATGTGGAATTCAACCAGTTTCTGATGACTAGATCACAGGCCAGCTCCATTCCTCTACCAGGGAAGGACAGGAGGGAGAACACTAGAGAAAACTTTCCTTTACTGGTACAGGCTGAGGGTAGACTTCCACATATTATTCTGTTTATTTTTTTGTAATGAGTTGGCAGGGTGACATTGATGTATGTATGGGCATATTAAGATTCATAGAGAGATTAGGGGCCTAACCAGGGCAGCTAATGTCTTTGGAGTGTTCAGACTACCTCAAACATTCACACAAGTCCCCTCCTGACCCAATTCTAACTTCAAAACATTTCACATTATTCCCAGGTCCTCTGCCTAGATTCTGTTTCTGATGGTTCACTGTTGGCAGACTGTGGCACTACTGAAACCTGTGTTGGTGTTACAACCTGCAATGTTGCTGAATTTGTATAAGATTTTCTATTCAAAAGGTCCTGTACCAAGAGTGACAATTTTACTTCCTCTTTCGTAAGTTGAATGTCTTACTTATTTTGCTTGCCTGATGACTCTAAGACTTCCAGGAATCAAAGTCAGGGAAGTAGACATCTTTGATGTGTTCCAGACCTCAGAAAGCTGTCAGCATTTCATGCATACAATGACAGCTCTTACCTAACATCTGTATAATGTTGATACATCCCTTCTTTATCTAATGCTTAACACTGTTTTTACCATGAATAAATGCAGACTAACAAGTGCTTCCTCTAGACAATAAATTATATGGTTTTGTTTTTCATTCTGTTAATTTAATATACATTTTAACTTGCATATGCTAAACCATCCTTGCATGCCTGTGATGAATTCCACTTGATCACAGTGTATATCTTTATAACATGCTTTAGAGTGGGACGGGTAATATCTTGTTGAAATCTGTATATCTAGGTTTAAAGACATTATCCTATAATTTTATTCTTTTCTTGAATCTTATTTTAATCATTTTGTGTTTTAATATAACACAACTCTTAGCACAACTCTTGGTTATCAGTTCTCTCCTGCCACCTTTCAAGATCCAAGAATCAGGTTATCAGGGCTGTGTGCCAGAACCTCTACCCACTGAGCCATCTCACTGACCCTTTGTTCCTGTGTCCTGTCATGGTTTTGATATTAGAGTAACACTGATCATGTGGAATACATTTAAAAGAATTCCTTCCTCTTGAGCTTTCTGGAATAATTAATGAAGTGGTCTCCATTGTTTTTATAATATTCAATAGAAATCAGCAGTGAAACTGCCTGGTCTTAGGGTTTAACATTTTTTTTATTTTAATTTTAGAGACAAATGTCACTTTCATAGCCCAAGTGAGCCTAAATCTCAGTGATCCTCCTGCCTCAACTACAAGATACTGGGGTTGCAGGAGTGAGTCACCAATCCAAGCTCCTTTACTTTGACAGATGATTTCTTTTCTTTTTTTATTATTAGTTACATTTTATTAACTCTGTATCCCAGCTGTATCTGCTCCCTCATTCCCTCCCAAACCCTCTCTCCCTCCCTCATCTCCTCCCTGCCCCTTTCCAAATCCACGATTGGGGAGGACCTCCTCCCCATTCATCTGACCCTATTTTATCAGGTATCTTCAGGACTGGCTGCAAAGTACTCCTCTGTGGCCTAGCAGGACTGCTCCTCCCTTGGGGAATGGGGAGGTCAAAGAGCCAGTCATTGAGTTCCTGTCAGAAATAGTCCCTGTTCCCCTTACTATGGGAAACCAAATGGTTACTGAGCTACCACGGGCTTCATCTGCGCAGAGGTTCTAGGTTATATCCATACATGGTCCTTGGTGCAGTGTCAGTCTCAGAAAAGACCCTGTGCCTAGATATGTTTGGTCCTTGTGGAGCTCCTGTCCTCTCCCCATCATACGACAGATGATTTCTAAGTACAGTCTCAGTCTTACACTCGGAACTGATCTGTTCACAGGTTTTCTATTTCTTGATGATTAAACTGGGAAAAAGTTCATGTGTCCAGGTTATGTATTAACTGAGTCTGTTCAGGTTTCCTCCTCGGTGATTTCATCGTGGTACATGTATATGTCCAGGAACTGTCATGTTTTTCTCCCTCTCACATTGTTGATATGTACTTGTTCTTAACAATTACTAAGAAATCCTTTCACCAACCTCAGCTTACGATCTGCTCTAAACAGCCTCCAGACCCCAGCACAATGGCTATTGTGTGCCCTTGGTGACTTTATACATAAGAAAAGTGATTCTTTATAGCAGAACCATCTATTTATTAGCAACTGTTAGTTAAAACCATGAAAGTAACAGAGTTAGCCATTGGTCAAGGTTAGTCTCTTTTAGGCACTACTGAAGTTGTAAGTATGGAACTGTCATAAAATGACTAGCTAGTTTTTGCTTTCTGTTGTGTGATAAAATGCTGATGAAAAACAACGTGGGGAAGAATGGCTTTCTAGTTCACCAGGAAGAAAAGTCAGGACAGAACCCAAAGAAAGCACCTGGACGCAGAACTGAAGCAGTGGCCATGGAGGACGGCTGCTTATTGGTTCACTCTCCATGGTTGCAGCTTGCCTTCACATACAACAGAGAACCACCTGCCCAGAGGTAAACTGCCTTCAGTGGCCCAGGTACCCGCTTGTCAGTGAACAATAAAGAAACAACCTACAGACACGTGCGCAGGCAGATATGACGGAGGCAAATTCCTTAATTAAGGTTCCTGCCTCCTAGCTAGGTCTAGATTGGGTCAAGTTGACAAGAACTAACTCGCACATACCCCCTAAACCTCCTACAAGTTCTGCTCTTCACAACCAGAGCACCAGCAGGATAACTGGAGAACTATGCCACTTCCTATCATCCCAACTTGAAAAGAAAATAACCAATGTGTGCTTTTCTCAGTGTGCTGGCTAGTTTTATGCCACGTTGATGAAAG